AGGGTTATGCCCCCAACCAAGGCACATGCCCATAGCCGGAATCGAACCTGGGACACTTCAGTCCACAGGCCGACACTCTATCCACTGAGCCAACCTGGTCAGGACTATTAAAATAATTTAACACTGATTTTTCAAGTGGGAAACTAAATATATTTTTATTTTAAAAAATGGACTTATGTTCATCTACAAAATTTCCCCCCAAGTTCTGATATTTCTTTTATTTAGATTTGGGAAGAAAATACCATTCTGATGGCACAAAATGCAAAAATTTTAATTGTTTTAATCCCAGCACAGAATTTTAAAAACTATTAATGGAAAACAGATTAAGGTCATTAAGTGCACAACACTAATTTCTGGCCAGCTTCTCCCTTAGTTCTCCCAAGGAAAACTTAAATTGAATCTTCAGCAGAATAATCCTCAAATATACTTCATAAGCAAAATGAGAGCTTTTGTTTACAGTTTTTGGATTTTGCTGTTCCTGATTTTATTCTGGAACTTAATTTTACCCAAAACCACAGTTACCATATGAACGTTTTAACGCAAAGCAGCATTACACCATCAGGCTCTATTCACCCAGAGCTTAGGAAAAACAGGATTGGTCACACCCACTTAAAAACAAACCTCATGCTATTTGCCAATGCATGGTTTCAGTCTAAGTTCTGACAGTGAAATATGTGGATATATATTTGTAAATCTCATCTTGATTTTCAAAGGTAGGCACAGGAAGTTCTTCACAGCTTAGCTTTGCCCTGCTGGAGCTGAAGATTTTGTAACTTCATAGCCAGACCCATGTTGCTAGTGATTTTCAATTTACCTTGAAAGAAGGCCGACTGAGGATTCATTTTACCAATCATCAAAGCCATCAAGTCTGAGTCAGCTATTGTGACAGTGCCAGCCTCCTTATCTGAGTTGGGAAGCACTGATCCTTTGCCATTATTCACATCCACTGCCCAGGTGGCTTCTTTATCCCCAGGACCAACCTTCACCTTGAAGGCCAAAATACCGCTGATTTTCTTCACAAACTGTTTCCCTGCTTCTTCAAGCTTCTTTTCAATTTTCTTAAAGACAAGCTTTGCCTTAAATCCTTCAACTGCAGCGCTGAGTAGAGCAGCCTCAATTTGATCAGTTCTGACAGCTTCAAAAAGCCCATCTTGTAGATTGTGACAACTACAGCTCCTCCAAGGTTTAAATTATGCTGCAGAGCTGCCAAGTTCATTTATTAAATCTAGTAGTTTTTTTGGTGGAGTCTTTAGGGTTTTCTATGTACAATATCATGTCATCTGTAAATAATGAGAGTTTTACTTCCTCCTTTCCCATTTGGATACCTTTCCCATTTCTTCTTGTCTGTGGCTAGGATTTCCAGTACTATGTTGAACAAGAGGGTTGAAAATGGACATCCCTGTCTTATTTCTGTTCTTAAGGGAAATGCTTTTAGTTTTTGCCCATTGAGTATGATGTTTGCGGTAGGTTTGTTATAAATGGCCTTTATCATGTTGAGATATGCTCCCTCTATTCCCACTTTGCTAAGAGTTTTTAATCAAAAAAGCGTGTTGGATCGCTTCTCGGCCTTTTGGCTAAGATCAAGTGTAGTATCTGTTCTTATCAGTTTAAAAATGGGTGTTGGATTTTGTGGAATGTTTTTCTGCATCTATTGATATGATCATGTAATTTTTGTCTTTCAATTTGTTTATGTGATGTATCACATTTATTGATTAATAACTATTATACCAGCCTTACATCCCTGGAATGAATCCACTTGGTCATGGTGTATAATCTTTTTAATACATTGCTTGATCCGATTTGCTAATATTTTGTTGAGGATTTTAGCATCTATGTTCATCAGGGGTATTGGCCTGTGATTCTCTTTCTTTGTAGTGTCTTTACCTGGTTTTGGAATTAGGATAATGCTGGCCTCATAAACAGCATGGAAGTGTTCCTTCCTCTTAGATTTTTTGGAATAGTTTGAGAAGTATAGGTGATAGTTTTTTTTGAATGTTTGGTAAAACGCCCCTGTGAAGCCGTCTAGACATAGGCTTTTGTTTGGTGAGAGTTTTTTGATTACTGTTTCTATTTCATCAGTTGTTATTGGCCTATTCAGGTTTTCTGATTTTTCCTGATTCAATTTTGGGAGATTGTATTTTCTAGGCATTTGTCCATTTCATCCAGATTGTTTGCTTGTTGGCATATAGTTGTTCATAGTATTTTCTTACAATCCTTTGTATTTCTGTGGTGTCAGTGGTTATTTCTCTGCTTTCATTTCTGATTTTATTTATTTGGGTCCTCTCTCTTTGTTTCTTGATGAGTCTGGCTAATCAATCTTGTTTATCCTTTCAAAGAACCAGCTCTTGGTTTCATTGATTTTTTTGTATTGTTTTTTTAGTCTCTCTGTCATTTATTTCTGCTCTAAACTTTATTATATCTTTCCTTCTACTTACTCTGGGCTTTTCTTGTTGTTCTCTTTCTAGTTCTTTAGGTTGTAGGGTTAGTTTATTGTTAATTTTTCTTGTCTTTTGAGATAGGCCTATAATGCTATGAACTTCCCTCTCAGGACTGCTTTTGCTGTGTCCCAGAAATGTGAGTTCATTTTCATTCCTTTCCAGTAAGTTTTTTTTTAACTTCTTTTTTGATCTTGTTGGTAACCCATTCATTGTTTAGTAACATAATCTTTAGTCTCCATGTGTTTGAATGTTTTGGGGTGTTTTTACATTAGTTGATTTCTAATTTTATTCCACTGTGATCTGAGAAGATCCTTGATATGATTTCAATCTTCTTGTACTTGTAAAGACTTGTTCTGTGTCCTAACATGTGGTCTATCTTTCTGAATTATCCATGTGCACTTAAGAAGGATGTATATTCTGCAGCTTTGGAGTGAAATGTTTTATAAATTTCAATTAAACCTATCTGATCCAGTGTGACCTTTGTAGTCACTGTTTCTTTGTTAATTTTTTGTCTGGAAGATCTATCCAATGAAGTCAGTGGGGTGTTAAAGTCCCCTACTATGACTGTATTGTTTTGATCTCTCCGTTAAAGTCCTCTAGAAGTTTTTTAAAAAATATATTTAGGTGCTCCTATATTGGGTGCATATTTGTTTACTAGGGTTGTTTCCTCTTGTTGGGTCAATTCCTTTAGTGTTATGTAGTGACCTTTGTTGTCTCTTGTGATGGCCTTCATTTTAAAGTCTATTTTGTTGGATATGAGTATCTCTATTCCAGCACATTTTTTTTTCCATTTGCATGAAAAAAAATTTTCCATCCCTTGATTCTCATTCTGTGTGTGTCTTTTGTTCTGAGGTGGGTCTCTTGTAGATAACATATAATTGGGTCATGTTTTTGTGTCCATTCAGCTACCCTATGCCTTTTGTTTGGAATATTTAACCCATTTACATTTAGGGTCATTATTGATAGGTACTTATTTATTGCCAGTATATTTCTGTATTTCTTTAGTCTTTTTTTTGGTCCAGGAAGCTCTTTATTTGACCATCTATTTTGAATGATAGCCTTGCTGGACATAGTAATCTTGGTTTCAGATCCTTCCTACCAGTCTCTAGGCGGTCTCCACTTTATGTCCTTGGTTATTAGAGTTCTTTCCAGCTAGTCTCCCATGAATTATTCAGGATTTATTTATTTTTTGTATTTTAATTGCAATTCCAGTTTCATCCTGAGAGAGCGTGTCTGTGTAGCATCCACTTACTCCACCACCATTTTTAATACAGTCAATTGATTTTTGATGAGGGTACCAAGGCAATTCATGTGCAAAAAAAAAACTTTTCAACAAATGGTGCAGGATTCATGCCTACCGACACCAACTTCCAACTCCATTCCTATGCCAATTCATTTATTTTACATTCAGTTAAGGCTTGTCTCTTCCATCCACCTATTTCTCACCACAACCTCTACAACTCTATATACACCACTCACCCTTCTGAAATCCTCTCCCCTGTTCTTCACTATAAATATATTAAGATTTATTTCCAACCACTGGATGTGCAGGAAGCCCAGCAAGGTAAAGCCATGCTTTTCCATTCATATACACTATGGGCAAGGTCATGTCCATATTCATATATGGCATGCTATTCTGTATTTTCTAATTTACTTGTAATTGTTTCTGTTTTCACCTCAGGCATCATTCTGTCTCTCCTCAGGTAAATTATTAGTACCTAAAAAGCAGGATTAATGTAGTCCACTTATTTAACAATTCACTGTTCATTTAACAACCTAATAGTATATCTTCCATATTGCTTGGTGTAGATTCATGCACACTATATTTCCTTAAGATGCTTGTCAGAATTACTTGCCTGACCATTGAAATATCTCTGGTAAATACAAAAAGTATTCAGTGAACCACAAGATGCACAAGCAGTCAAATGACTGAATGGTTGTTAACACTTTACCTGCTCCATTTTGATCAGGAAATAATCAATAAAGTCCCGAGGATTGTGAATGTCCAGGGATGCTTGATGTTCCTTTGTTTTCTCTGTAACATAACTTCTTATAAAAGCAATATTTTTGAATACTTAAAACACCTACCTGAAGACATTACCATATACTGAGCCCTAGTCAGAAACTGTACTGTAAATATTAATGAAATATGGTCTTTGTTTTGAGGGGGATTTCTATTTTACAAATGTGTAACTTTCTACACTGACAGGTGTATTTGAGGGGGAAATTTCTGATCAGAGGAGCAAAGATGGTAATCACTTCTATACACATTCATCATGCTTATAATATAAAATCAGATGCCTATAGCTCTCTCACATTTTACATCAATTCTTCCCTGAAATCTTGAAATATGGGATGGCATGAAATACTACGATTCATATTTTGTAGATGACAACAGATGGGGAGGGAGTTTGGGCAACCTGATATAACCCAGAAAACATAACCTGCTGTTTCTATTTCTGTTTAGTAGCCTCGGACGAATCAGTATCTTAGAACTGGGAGGGTCCTGGTGATAACCATGAAACACAACTCAACATTTTATATATGAAATAATTGTGCACAGGGCAATCAAGTGACTTCTTTAAGACCACATCATTATCTTTTAGGCAGAGTACAGAACATGTCAACTCGCACAGGGTAAAGACCACATCACTATCTTTTAGGCAGAGTACAGAACATGTCAACTCGGACAGGGTAAACTTGTGATGTTTGTGTATGGTTCGTACACCATGTAACCAATCATTTTGTCATCCCCCAAACAATTACCGTGTCAGTTAGGATGCCAACTAAAGCATCAAATAGTGTTCCTTAGCGGCATTTGTGGCCCCAAATATTCTCCCTTCTTGAAGGAGATATTCTCTTACTCCCTAAACATATATATTTCTGTCAACTAATGTACTGAAGAAGTCACCAAGTGTTGACTAGATGACAAGACCTGTGGGTAATGGAATCCTTTTAAGAGGAACCCAGAAGTCCATTTAGTATTATAGGCATGTTTTTGGGAAGTTATCAGAATACTTTGTGGGAAATTATGCTTTGGAATTTAGCTGGAATAATCTGGACAGGGTCAATGGGGTTGAATTCCAGATCTGTATTCTGGGCATTTCTCTTCTGGTCTATCATTAAAGGGGTCGGCCCAATTTCCCAGATGAGCACTTCATGATGCTAAGCTCTGGGAAGGACTATGGCATTCACCCATTCACTTCACGGCTTGGTACACACACACACGTGGACTTCTTGTAGAAAAGAGCATAAAGGATTCCTCGTGAAGGAACAATCTTGGCCTCACCTGAATCCATGGAGAGCTCAGAATCTTGACACTTTCATTAAGCCTTTCCATTATGTCCAGAAAAAGTTTATCTTTATAATCAAAGCGCTTCTGGAAGATAATGGAGCAGATCACATTGCAGGGAGCACAGCCCAGGATAAAAGTGGGATCACAGGGTGATGCTAAAGAATCAGAAACAATTTTAAAACACCATTAGAATATACATATGAAACACTTCGATTATGAAATAACAGGTAAAGGTAATTTTAGAAACTTTAAAGCAAGATCTTACCTACAGATTTCCTAACAGCAAAATATTCAATATGCATAAAATCAATGCATTACTTTTACCTTAACCTGAGTATCTTATTTTAACCTAACTAGTTAAATAATGGTTTTCTGAAAAAACAAAAATACTCAATTTATACCCATTGTCTTTATTTGTACCCAAGTACAAATTGTCTTTTACTTTTCACCCAAGGTGCCTGCTAATTTGGAAGGAAAAAGAAAGGGGAAAAAAAATTTAAAGAGGACATTTTTATATCATAATTAAAGTTAGTGCTGAGTATCATTTGTCTGGAAAGCCTGTAGAAAATTAAGTGCTGGTATATAGAAAGACTAGGTACCTCAATGATTATGTTTGATGAATAATTGAAAGAATCATGTGTAGAAGCAACAGAGGGGGAGCTATAGAAAGATTGTGAGAGAATTCATATACTTGAAAGAATAAGTGTAAAGAAGCAGCAAACATCCTTGTTGTATGACAAGAAAAGCTAATACAGGTGAACAATTATTATAAAATGGATTTTTTGGCCTAAAATAAAAATGAAATGAGAATTTTTTATTTCAAACATAAATCCCACATAAGCAAAACAAAAATGGAGTTCTTTTAAATCTTTATTTCAATGTTTAAAAAAAATTTCCCTCCCACGTGGCCAGTGTTGCTCAGTGGATTGCACATTGTCTCATGCATCAAGATGTCACTGGTTTGGGAGAAACCAAGATGGCAGCATAGGTAAACACCGGAGTTTGCTGCCTCGCACAACCACTTCAAAAATACAACTAAAAGACGGTACAGACATCATCCAGAACCACAGGAAGCCTGGCTGAGTGGAAATTCTTCAGCTAGAAGGAAAGAGAAAAGCATACCGAGACTCAGAGGAGGTGCGGTGCGGAAGTAAAATACTAAGGTTCCGAGGCGCAAACAGAGCGGGCTGGCGGCTGAGGGCACGGTTGTCACTTTCAATCAGGAGGGAGTCTCAGGCTCTGAGCTCCAGTTCCGGCGAGTCTCTGGGGACACAGATTCAGACGGGAGAAGTGGGACTGTCTGGCATCAGTCAGAACTCCAGTACAGCTTTCTCTCCAGGATGCTGAAGAGTGGGGCCCCTGAGGGCAAGACTGAGAGCAGCCATAACTGCTCACTCCACCCTGTTGATCCTGTGCGACCCACCCCGCCCAAGCTCTGCACAGAGGCTTTTGCTGGATAGCCTCAAGCAGAGGCTAGAATAGCACCTCCCTCCAG